GTGTGTGTTGGGGGCGGGGGGGGGGAATAAACCTGTCACAGCCTGAAGAAGAAAGTACTTAGACGTACCKCTGCGTGAAATACTGCCTGCACCCTCCAAGTTTCACTTTTAACTTTGGTACTTACTGAAATGTGTTTCTGGACAAAGTAGTCTTATTTTGTGGACTATTATTTCTCACCTGTCAGAGTTGGATGGTCAGCATGCTTTATGTCCAAAAAAAATTAAAAACGCTATAAATTACRCCTTTGTTGAAGCAAAGCTTTCATGCAAGAGTTTTTAATGAATGGTTTGTTTTGAGAAATCACAAAGTTGTGGTTCTGTCAAACCTTGGAACATTAAGTGTTAGCTTATGCTCATGTCACATTTTAGCCTAATATTTATTAAGTCAGCTGAGTTAGAGATATTTTTGTGTTGGCTAAGKTTAATTGGCAGTGGCAGCCATTTTGAAATGAACTGTCCAAATCTTAATAGAGATAGATATGCTTTCAAACATTCATTTCTTAAAGTTTTTCTTTTGTTCTTTTTTTTTCTATGCTAAGATGAAATAAAATAAAAGAGCTATAATTACTAATTGGTCTTCCAGAGACGTTTTCTAAAACAAAATGGCCTAAATATTTTTTTAATTACTTAGATTTAGGTTTATTTTCATGATATGCAGTCTTGACTTGACCTTTAGTACTGAATCTCTTTAATGTAATATTTAAGTTGCTTGTTGCTCAATAACAGTATCCTGGTTGTATCTTGTAGTTCATAACACAAATAAGCAATTGTCAGTCTTTTAATATATTAAACATCACCGGTATCTTATCATGTGTCATTTGTCTTCTTTGTCCCGTTTATGTTTCAGGTGTGCAGAGGCAGRTTGTTCATTGTGTTGAGAAGATGACAGGTTTAGCTCAGGAGCATCTGTGTGAGCCCTCCACTCGCCCTGAGGACAACCACACCAGCTGTAACAAGGACCCATGTCCACCCACGTGAGTCTGCCGACACAATGCCCTTTATAACACCAGCAGGGTCCACAGACACAAACTCAAAGTGTTTTATAGTGTTCAGTCCTTCAAAGGTAAATACGTTGTGTTGTTTTAGTCTGAATGGAAGCAAAAAAATAAAGACCAAGATGCCAAACCCAGAGTTGTGTAACAGCTGAGTTACAATAGCTTTCATAAGAAGATTTACATATAAATTACATTTTTAAATTTCTCCTGTTTTACTGTTGAAATGAGAATGGGGTTATTTTGAAGCTATTCCATCCTCATCAGGATGAGGGTATATAAATATATTTTTTACTGAGGATGGATTACAGCAGACAAGTTGTAATCTTTGCTGTATTCCTCTGACATTTTTATCTCCACACCAGGTGAGTGCCAACATACGGCTTGTTAGTTTCTGATAAAATAAAATGAAAACTCCATTTCTTCACAGTTCAACACCTTTGGGCTCAACTGAAACCAGCATATTTTCCTTTGTTACGAATCCTATAAATCAACAAAGAAAAGTACATTTCCCATTATTTCTGTACACACGGTCCAAAAGACATTTTTTCTGACATTCAACATGTTGTTTACAACATGTTACATCATTAAGCACTGAGGTTTAGACATGATTGTTGTTCAAGTCAAACCAGATTCAACCACCTATTTATTCAAAGTTCATAAATTTTGTGTTATTTACATTTAAGTATTTTTTATAAAAAAAAAAACTTTACAGTAATTTTTCCTCTTTTTAAAATCCACTTGAACCTACTAGGACAAAAAAATTATATGCAATGCAAGGTCTTAGGAGGTTGAAGTGTTTTTATTGTTGGTAGTGCTTTTTAATGAAAAGGTCGGCACAACTATAAATTATAAGTCATTAGCAGGCCAGACCAAAGTCACCCACGGGCCACCAGTTGCCCATCCCTGCTTTAGATTTAAACAATACATTAATTTCATAAAGTCACAAGCAAAWGATCATGTTTCAGTTCTTGGGTTTTATTTATCAAATGATCTTGTGTATTCCAAATTCTGAAATTATTCTGATCTTACCGAAACACACCAAATTCCACCTTATTATTATTTATTAAAGTTGTGTGTAAAAATAAATWAATTCTAGCTGCCAGGTGCTGCTGATYAAATGCACTTGATTGACAACCGATGTGTTTTGATACGATGGCAAGGAGAAAACACATCAGCAATGAACTAAGAGGGGCAAATGTTGCTGCCCATCAGTGTGGGCAGGCTTAAAATACATTTCCAAACAATTTAGAGTCTGTCATTCTACAGTGAAAAAGACTATTCAAAGTGGAAAACATTTCAAACAGCTTACAATATTTCCAGAAATTGACATGCCAGCAAATTCACACAAAGGTGCATCGCTCCGAGAAATGACAAACAAGAGTGTAAAGATGACAAAATTCCTCCACCGTGAGAGACTCAGGCAGAAAACAACAACTTTGTCTTGTTTTTGTTAAAGGAGGACTTATTTTCTCCACTCGCAACTTTTTCAATTTGTTTTTGTTTTTGCCTAATAAACAACGTGATACAGGCWTATGTGTAGTTTGTACACTTGATGTTAGATTTGAATAAATCATTTTTACCATGTCCTAACGTCAGACTGTAGAAATGAAGGAAGGAGTACTGCTTGTTTTTTTCCCATGAATAATTACTTGCATTTAACAAATAATAAATATTTAGTGTTTGTCTAACTGTGTTTGATTATTTAACAGATGTTTATTCACTTTGTAATAAACCAAGAAATGGGAGACACAGTAATAAAAAAATGAATATGCTTGTTTTTTTAAACTAGCTTAAATTGTTTTTGTACCCCTCGCTGTTATTTTGGCCTAAACCGTCTCCATTTTGCAGGTTTTTGAAACAAGTTCAATGCTAAAATACCCTCATTTATTGGAAGTGAAAACTGAATTTGTTCCATGGCCTGTTTCTGTTGCCACCATGCACAGTCGGTGTCATAGCCTTTGTGTCTTTGTCTTTTTTATTTTCTCTTTTTAGTCGTTTGCTCTAGTTAAAGAGCGTGTGTTCTGCCTGTGGGAAGAACAGCCTTTCACTGAAGCAAAACGTGACATGTCCCTACAGATCAGCTGTTCTTTAATCTCCCCACCAAAGACACTTTCTGGACATTCTCTGCAGGAAACAACCCAAATCTCACTCACACCACCTTTTGACAGCTTAGCCGTACTGGCCAGGCYGCACTTGCTCAGCATGCAAGTGTTGCACTGTCACATTCACCTCAGAGGTTTAAACAGATGTGTTTGCGTCTTTTGTGTCCCTTTGTGCAGATGGCGGGTTGGAGATTGGCATAAATGCTCAGCAAGCTGTGGAAGCTCGGGCCTGGCTAAAAGGATGGTTCTCTGCATCCAAGCTCTGAGTGCAGACGAGCAGAAAGCCCTGGATCCCAGCTACTGTGAGCATCTCGCCAAACCCGACACYGTATCCACCTGCAACACACACACTCCCTGCCCGGCAGACTGGGTCACTGGCAGCTGGTCAAAGGTTAGTTTTGAATGTCTGTGATGCTTCCGCTTGATGGAAAGGGGGGAAAATGCAAATTGCATGGCTTGTAACTAAAAATACTTTCAGTTTCTCTCATATGGTACRGTAAAAATCTGTTCCTTTTAGATCAGGGGTGCCCAAACATTTTCACTGAGGGCCAAAATTAAAAAACATTTTTTTCGGAGAGGGCCAAAATTAAAATCAATCTGAGGGCTGTGGGCCAAATGCAATAATATAAGAAATGCTTAATACTTAAGCAAAGTTGTTTTATTTTTATTTTTTTATTATTAAGCTAGCAACCAGTGTGGTTTGCCCACATTCTTTAGTTTTTTTTGTTTTTCAGCCCAAGGACATGGAGAAAATTCAACATATGCTCAGGCAGCAAAGGCTCAGGTGACTTTTCATAATTTAAAATTTGAGTATATGTGGTCTTATAAGGTGTGCAAATTTATATATGGGCTTAAATCTAATCTAAATGTCTCTTGTGGTTACTTGTATTTTATATTTAATCTTAACATAATTACAATCTAATAACCAGGACAACTGCTGGTGGGCCAAATCAGATGGCTCGGCGGGCCAATTTTGGCCCGCGGGCCCCACTTTGGGCACCTCTGTTCTAGATGTTCTGCATTATATGTCTGCTTAAAGGGAGAAAGAAAACACACATTTGTATTAGTAACGATGGTTCATAGGCAACATGTAACTTTAGATTTTCTGCTTGTTGCTTCAACAGTACCTCCAGATCCAATATCACATGAACAAACAACCATTTTAGATGCCTCGTGAAAATACACTGCCTGGTCAAAAAAGAAGTTCACACTTATTTTTGATTGGACAGACTTGGGTTTTCGTTACAGCACACATTGTCTGTGGCATCATTTCCACAAGCTTCTGCAGTCACAACATTTATTTCCTGTCCAGAAATTAGTTTACATTTTTGCCAGCATCTTGTTTTGTTGATGGGAGATTTGGACCACCGCCAAASGTCTTCTCCAGCACATCCCACAGATTTTTGATGAGGTTCAGGTCTGGACTCCGTGGTGGCCAGTCCATATGTGAAAATGACGTTTCATGCTCCCTGAACCACTTTTTCAAAATCGGAGCTTGATGAATCATGACATTGTTATCTTGGGATACGTCTGTGTCATCAGGGAAGAGAAAATCTAATCATGCAATAAACTGGTCCTTCAGTGAATTTAGATTCTCAGCTGAACTTTGGGCACATAATGCAGGGCTRATAGTTCCAGCGCCGTGACGGATCTCTGGTGTAGCGTAGCTGCGGKGAAAAAATGTAAAATTCAGGTTTCTCACAGCACAGCTTTCACCTTAAACACATGGGCAGGCTACTAGCCAATCAGAAATCAGGTGGAGGCGGGACTTGGGTCTCAACAAACTTTGATTCAGATTCAGCAGAAGAAGTTCAAGCATTGTTCAAAATAAAGAACTGGATACAATATCGAAGCTGGCAGATTTAAAAAAAACTGCTGTCAAGGAAGAAACACTTGGAGGATGTTTACTGACTCCTCTACCTGAGAGACAGAGAGGAGGACGAGCCGGCCACACAGCTGGATGTTCAAGYTATCTGGACAGAAGCTGACAGGTGGAGCAATGAGAAAAGCATGCAAGCCGAGACAATTCTGATGACGTTTATAACCATGGGACTGCACAGATGGACCTGCCCTTTTTGCCTCCGGACCATGCAGTGCCCCTTTCAAATATTTTATCTTTTTTTTTATATAATTCATTGTGTGGCTACTTATCGCATTGAGGCATTTTTGGGTTAAAACACATTCAATACAATGTATTACCAATGCCCTAAAATGTGCTAAATTATTTATGCCCACCCCTCCTCTCACACACACACACACACACACACACACACACACAC